CACAAGGAATACAGTCTGGACTCAAACCAGCGTACGATTAAACTTTCGGACCCTGCGCATATCACTAAACGACTGCAAGACTCAGCTGTGGCTATACCCAGCTTCGTGGGTATCTCTCGGCCGTTCGGAAAACGGAATCTTGGTCGTCCGAAGAGGCTCCAGTGGCCCAATCCGTCTTTCGTGCTGACATCTGAGTCGTGTCCATGCTCGGGAAACATGGTAAGAAAGCACGGATACCCCTTGCACGTCTTGTGATGTCGTCTGTCAAAGTCACAGGGGTGTTGCGGTTTGGTACCAGTTCACGCTCATGGCGACGACCGCATGCGTGATAGAGTGAAGAACTTGCACTGCATTGTTCGGAACACTATGACAGTCAAGAGGTATAAAACCCTTGGAAACTCCAATCTGCCCTTATGGAAATCATGTCCCGGAACCCCGCCCCAGAACTATCTGTCCGTCGCGGACCACCCCGCTTTCCCGGACGTTGACAGTATACTGATCGTGAAGTACAGATTTTCCCCTGTCGATCAGTGGCTTCACAGCCACTTCTCCTCGATCGTGAAGTATCTGGAGGAGGAAGGCTTCGACGAGTGGGGTCCATCAGGCCAGGAGAGGTGGTTGATCCGTCGAACGCTTCTTGTCATCCAAACAAAATTCCGAACATCTTTTATGAGGTCTAATCCAATATAATTGCAAAAGTAGTGCCTCTCGGTCGTTTCGTAGTGTCGCGTCGCTGTTTATCCTGTTGTAGGGCCTCACGCCCTCTCAGGCCGCATGTGTTGCGGTCTTTTTCGGCATCCACCTCGACGAGGCTGGAGGGTGCTCGTTTTCTCATCCGTACGTAGTGTTGCTACCGCTTGTTCAAGTCAGCTTGAGGCTACGTTCACAGGTGAAGCGACATCATCTTACCTTGGACTCATCGGTGCGTGACCCAGGTTGGACTGATAATAGGGCTTTGGCATGCCCAGCTGGGGTAGCTTGCGCCAACTTCGTTCCCGCACTTCTCTCATATAGGAGTCTTGCTCTGGGCTTCTGTGGAAACGTCTTGAGTCATCTTCAGGCTCTCCGCCGTAGAACCGGTAGACCGCGAAACCACAGCAGACGAGCGCGCCTGCTCCGAGGATAACGAGAAATATGATGAGGGCTGGGGCGATGTCGAAGCCCATGTTGTTTCTTTTTTGAAGATACATTGTGACTGCGGAGGAAGGGGTATATGCTGTGGTACAGAATCTCGTGCGACGGGCGCGAGTGATATAGGGATGGAGTAGTGTTTGCTGTAGTGACACGCTCACGATCAACAAAGGTAAGGCAGAGAGTGAGCCTAATGCGCGGAGGTTCCGGAAGCTGCAGGAGTGACAAGAAAAAGGCCGAGGGGATGGTCAGCGTTGCGCTGACGACGACGAAATAGTATGGTGTGATGCGGCAACGTCCCACAGACACCGAGTTGCGAGACCCTGCGTGCCACAATCACTTACCTATATACCGTTACACCTATCGCTTCGGGAACCGCAAGGTCTTCCAGATCGTGCGTCTGATGCGAACCAAAGACCCAATCGGTTGCTAGGAGGATGCGACCCTTTCACCATGCTATTGGCTGCGTCACATATTCACGTGCCTGGGCAGCCAGTAAAGCTGCGTTACCCCACCTATCGACCACGTCTAAGACCAGTTGGCACTCGGAAACGCGTAACACCCCAGCTTCGTCTGCTGCGTAGACACGCGTGGAAGTGTGGTTTCCGGACTGCCCGGGGAGGCTATGTTGGCTGGAAGGTTTCGGACCTGAACTTGGCCCGACTCTTGGAGCCTCTGGTTTCCTTAGCTTTGTATACTGCGATATGTCCTCCTTTTTCTTCTGCCTCTGGGCGCAATTTTGATGCGAACATTTCTGTCTTTTGGGGCTGTGAATGTGAATGTTCGCTGGGGACGCCTGTGGTGGTACGGTCTTACTTAGCCTTGGTGACGCGTCATCCGCACCTTCCAGGCATGCCGAGCGTCAGATTCCCCACCTCCTCAGGCCAACAGCGAGAGCACCAGCTTTCTTATATGAAGATGCGACACTCAGTGACGCAAACTTTGTTCCTGGACGATGCGCATCGTTCGCCGATCGTGAGGCACGTCAGAGCGATAAATTTAGCATAACAGCGATGACGTCGCACCGTCCCTCGCGCCCGCCCTGACGATCCCTTGAGCCCAAGCTTCTTACACCTTCGACGTCCTTCTTCTGGTCCTCCTCTTTGACACTCTGGTTGTTGAGATGAGATTTTACTGATTCCCATGGTTGCGCTACACTGAAGCCAATGCTTACATTCGATACGTGATCCTCTTTGACGCAGATGCGCATCCTTCAGTAGCAACACATATGGTACCCAGGTATGCGCTCCAGCAAGGGCGGGCGTGGTCGGCGCGCGACGGACGCAATGGTTTCAAAGACCCCAAGCGCCAGTCGCGCCGGCGACGTCCATCCTACCTGACGCAGCAAGAGAATGTTAATGGGATCTCTTATCGAGAGAGATTGCCGATGCTACCTTCCTTCTGTTGAGTCTCCAGGTTAATCTGTTATGGCCGGACACACACCGAGCGACGAGATTCTGGACCTAGAATTGGTAATGGACATTTACACCAACAGGCCCTCCACGAATCCAGATCAGAGCATCTCGGAATTAGCAAGCAGCGTATCCACTCTTCGAAAAGACATCAAGAGACGGAGAAGATGAGCAAACCAGTGCTTGAAGAATCGAGGCTACATCGTGGTCGGAGTAGATGGAATGCCTCTCTAGATGAGTTGCACTTCGTGTGACCTGAGACGTTTCAGAGATGCACGCATCGATCGCCAGCCTTGTGCAAGAGATGCATCGCCACAAAGTGGGTTGACGTTCGGGTTCGCGGTCCGTGAGTAATCTATATACATTAAACGCCCTGGGGTTTTGACGCCACCGGATATAATCGACTCGGATGCAGCAACACTTGCAGCAACACTGCAAGTATGTCCAAGACCCCACGGGGTATTAGTTACACTGCATTTCGGTAGCCGTAGGGCTTACATTATGACTGCCGTAGATCCGTGCTGGTTCCCGTGAGCTGCTGAGTTGCGCCATCAGCGCAATGTAAGGCATCGTGCCATGACTCCTCGTTGTTGAGCACCTGGGCATGCAGCTTGATACAACAACGACAATATTCTTCGTTGAGTCCCGTCAATACACCGAGAGGTCCACATCGCCCAGAGTTTAAGTAAACAAAGTACCACAACGTAGTGGCTGAAACTCGCACGTGGTTGGTGACCACCTGGACGGCGGCAGTGGCCGCAGCCGAGGATAGATTGCCCATCACCACTTCAAGGACAGCACTGCGTCTCATAAATTAATACTGGAGTCATTGAAATTCTCCTAGCCTATCGCAGTAGTTTCACGCCGTCACCAGACTGGAAACACCGCTGGGCTTCCAATGATCCAAGAGCTCGACGACCAGGGCGTGTTTCCACGAGCGGATGGCGTTCAACTCAGAAACCAGGTCGACTCGTGCATGGAGATGAATTTTTTGATTGCAAGGCTTCGCCAATACCTGGTCGTGGGAAAACGTGGGCGTCTGTAGAAGGCCACTAGAAGACTTCAGAGGAGTATATGAAGGGGCGTTAAGTCCCAGGTTGAAGGTCACTCTCGACAGCAAGCCCATCACTACACAGCTTCAACAATCAGCTTCAACAATCGCTTTCTACAAGTCATTCACTTTGAATACCATCAACATGCTCTCTTTCCTCCTCCTTCTCGCGCCCCTTGTGGCAGCCCACGGCCACGTCGACAAGGTCGTTGCCGACGGCAAGGAATACCAGGGCTGGAACGCTGCTCTCAAGTACCAGACCCCCATTCCCGCCACCGTAGGGTAAGTGACTCTGTACGAACTGCACGGGAAACATACACTGACTCATTCGTACAGATGGCAGGCCGACAACCTTGACAACGGTTTCGTCTCCCCCGACAGCTTTGGCACTGCCGCCATCGTTTGCCACAAGCAGGGCAAGAGCAACGGTGCCTACGTTACCGTCAAGCCCGGCAGCAAGGTCACCTTCAAGTGGGACACCTGGCCAGTCAGCCACGTTGGCCCCATCCAGGAGTACATCGCGCCCTGCAACGGCGACTGCGGCTCCGTCAGCCCCTCTGACCTGAAGTGGACCAAGATCCAGTCCAGCGCCTGGAAGTCAGGAAGCAACCCAGGAAAGTGGGCAACTGACGACCTCATCGCCAACAACTTCGCTTGGGACCTCACCTTCCCCAACGTCGCTCCCGGCAACTACGTTGTCCGCCACGAGATCATCGCTCTGCACGCTGCTGGCCAGACCAACGGCGCCCAGGCGTACCCCCAGTGCGTCAACTTCAAGGTTGAGGGCTCTGGAACTGCTAAGCCAAGCGGTGGTGTTGCTGGTACTAGCTTGTACAAGGTAAGATCTTCCACTTGAGTCGTACCATGCTTAGGTGCAATATCGAACATGTGCTAACGATGTGATTTAGGCCGACGATGCTGGTATCAAGTTCAATGTTTTCCAGTCCTTCACCAGCTACCCCGTCCCCGGCCCTGCTGTCAACAAGCTCGCCAAGCGCCACCCCAAGGACCTCGAGTACTAGATACGAACACGAATAATGAGATATGAGATGCCTGGAGGGCATAGGATGGACTGAATCATTCATGGTCACATACTTCTTGGGGTCGCTCGTTAAGGCTTGCGAGACGGTGTATATAGAGCATTGGTGGAGTGTATATAGCATTTTGGAATCACATTGCGTTATCTTTGGATCTTAATGCTGCCTGATACGACTCAGTGCCCTATGATTGTATATATGAGGACCTTATTAGCTGCCTAGGTAGTGTGAAAAACCTCGGCCAAAACGAGCATAGTGAAGACTGGAAGGAGATAGCTGCTAATTAAGTCAAGTAAACCGTACACGCTGTCAAAAAAACACTTTTTGCCCTGATAGAAGCCCCGTCCCCTGCATCCTCTTGCACTCACGTCACGCACTAAATACACTCAGTGCCGCCAGACAGGGTCGGCATCTCAATGCCCCTCCTTCTGGACACTCCCATAGACCGAATTGCGCGGCACTTTTTTTCGTGTGGCATTGAGGACATGCCTTGTTCTGATAGTCCACATGTTTCCATCCCAAGTCGATACTGACGTCTCTCAGGCGCTCTTCATTTCCTGGGCCACCTACCTCCTGAAGTTTCTGGGCATGAACTCGCCGGGCTTGTTCGCGAGCCATGTGCTTGCGAAGGCCTGATGTCATAGACTCTCTGGCTTTGGGCTTTTTGGGATTTGTCATATCTTGCTCGTCCTCGACATCATCAGCAGGTGGCCGCTTGAGCGATGTGGCATCGATTTCTTGACGACGAAGGCGCTCTTCAGCTGCCTCGCTCTGTCTTTTCTGTGCATCGGCCATGACCTTGGCCTCTCTTTCGTTTGCCGCGCGCTGTTTATTAGCGAGTCGTTCTCTCTCTTGACTTTCGGTCGAAGTAGGTTCTGCAGATCGATCGTGGTCGTCTTCGCTCGTTTGATGCAAGTTCTCCTGCTGCTTCCTGAGACGTTCCTGCGCTGCTTCTTCATTTGCAGCCTCCGCCCTCTTGGCCTGTTCACGAGTTCGCTCTTGCTTTTCTCGCCATAATTCTCTTAGCGCTCCGTCTTCATTCGAAGTGTCTTGTGACGATCCTTTCTCAGTCATTTTTCTTTGTTTTTGTGCTTTCTCCCAGTCAGTCTTGATGCGGGCCTCTTCCTCAGCCCGAGCTATCCCCTGTCTTCTGCTTTCCTCTTGGAGGCGCTCTCTCGCGCGTTGCGCTTCTCTCTCTCGTTGCTGGATTTGCTCTTTCATCTCAGCTGCTTTTGCTTGAAGAGCCTTCCTAGCCCCCATGAGCTCAGCTTGACGTCTTGCAGCTTCTTTGGCCTTCTCTTCCAATACTTTTTGCTTAACCCTCTCAATCTCCATCTTCTCTTCAACCAGTTTTTTCCGTCGTGCAGCGGCTCTCGTCTGACGCTGCTCGTTTTCCCGTTGCTCGTCGTTCCAGTTGGCGAGGTTGATTTTGTAGACGTCCCATTCTCTCCGGATCCTGGCGTAATCTCTGTCGTACTTCCGTCTCTCGCTAGTGTCCTCTAGGGTGTGCCACGCAACCTCAATCTATCAGCTAGAAATTAGTCAAGTATCTTGGTCGGTAAAATATACGTACTTACGTTCTGGAAATGCTCAGTGTTGGGTGTAGCGCCAACCCTTCCACTGTCAGGATGGTATAAAGCTTGTAATCGCTTGTGACACCTCTGTATTGTGGCATATGATGCGCGTTCATTAACTCCGAGAATTTCATAATAGTCGAGCTGCTCTGGGGGATTCGGTGGGCCGTTCATATTGTCGTTTGCTATAGAGCCGTGAAGGTGGTGCAGTGGTTGAGATGTATGGAATGTATGGAATGTTAGAGGTGTCAGATGTGGTGGTGTAGAAGGAATGGAGAGATGGAAGCATTGGAGACTTTATATGTGTGACAAGCGTCTCTCTTACCAGGCGGTCAGAGAGCGGGGTGTCTTAACAGGTAAGAGAGGGAATGTAGAGTGTGCCTAAAGAGCGGTAAGATGTATAAAAGCACATGGTGAGATAGGTGTAGCGAAAACATCGTAAGAGAACATTAAGGGTGAGAGGACGAGATAATTTTGCTATCTATTTCCCTAGTAGTTTAGAACTACTAGCTAGAGAAACAGATAGCAGCACATACTTTCTACCTTTACCTTAGATGCTCTAGTACACCTCGTAATTTACCTTTACCTTTACCTTTGCATCGGATGATCACCAAACTGACTTCGGTTCCCCATCTGCACACCGTGGCTTTGCATCTCTTTACCATACTTCATTACTTCTTCCTCCCACTTCTTCAGCGCGTCCATTGCTCCTCCTTCGATAACCTTGTCGACAGCGCCAGCAAGCTTCATCGCGTCTAGGGCAGCTTGGTTTGTACTCGCCGCTGTATGTGGTCTGAATCCAGCAAGTGCATCGCCAAGCAAGAGTACTCTACCGTTCTCCAACAAGGCAGATGGCGCGATGACATCTGTGATGGCTTGTACCAAGGGTACCTCAGTCTTGTTGACAAGCTCAGCGAATTGTGGTGGGAGTATCTCATTCGCGAGGACCTTTTGCCGTCTCCATACATCTTCTTTAATTCCACCCGGCGGTAATGTGATGTGATGTCTCTTCCCCTCGTTGTCTGTCATGAGCTCGACGTGCTCCGGCGATTCTTCCTTGTAGTTGGCGTACCAGACCCAGTTCAGCAATCGCTCACCAGGTTTGGTTGTCCCGCTTTTCCCTGGTATAGTATATGCTAGTATCTGGATACCCTCGGTGTGGTAGAATGGGAACTTCTCGACGAAGACATCGGTGGCAGCCTGTGAGACTTGCGTTTCGGGTACTGTGCCGCGCCATGCTACGTATCCGGCGTATGTTCGCTTGACGTCGGGGAAGTATTCGGCGCGTATCTTGGAGCTGGGACCGTCGGCTGCGATGACGAGGTCTGCTTCGGTGGAGAACGTCTCTCCGGATTTGTGTTGGATCGTGATCTTAACGGGTTCTGAGAAGTCCAATTCCAGAGATGGTGCAGGTTTTGGTGCCACAACACTCGTAACCGTACACCCATACTCATATGATGTCTTTCCCTCCCCTTCTTCCGTCGTGGGTACCTTCGCGTAGTCGGTCTCAGTACCATCGTAGTTCGTTCGTAGGAGGTGGTACAGCAGATCCCAGCTTGTCATGCGCTGCTCTTGGTTGTGACGACTTATGACATGGCCTTCCTTATCGAGATATAGCCGTTGGTGACTCGGGATTGTCAACGTGGTTTGACTGCGGTCGTGCGCTTTGAAGAACTTCTGTACGTCCTGTCCGGCCACCACACCAGCGCCCTGATCCTGCAGAAGCGGCGTCGGATTGCGTTCGAATATGCGGATGTTGAGATCTTTGCGAAGGCGCTTCAATGCGACACCAGTCAGAAGGCCGCCTAAAGATCCTCCAACGATTACGATATCTTTGGGCTTTGCTGGCGCCATGGCGGTACCTAGATATGTTGCGAAGCGTCGAGTATGGGTCAGAGCGGTTGAGGTTGAGCCACCAACTCAATATGGTGGATGCTACATTTTGAGCACTAGGTCGATCATGATCTGCTCAAGGATGCAGTCTTGTATTACCGTTCGATGACATGTTCGAGGATTCAGTCGACGCGAGTGCCGGTCAAACATCGCGACCAACGGCAAGCCTCGGCAGTTGAAGCAGTGCTTATGTCATCATGACGCGCACTTATCTCCATTCTCACCTGCGCGCCCTCACGAAGTCAGAGTAATTACCCGCCAACTGATGGATGGACACATGGTGCGCTTATGCAAATGTATCCCTATCGTGTTTATTATTCTTTTTGTTATATATGTATAAAGCAACGGCAACCTACGTACACCTGGGTATCCGCCAAAACAAGGACCGAACTAAAGCTAATACATGTTGTCACACTCAATGCTAAACCTCCTGAAAGACCCTCGGAGGCGATGCAGAACTCATCGTCACCTCTGGCGCACCGCGCGCTTCGCTCTCTCTCGCCAATTGACTCGCGAACTTACTCTTCGCACGAATCGCCGGACCCTTGAAGTAAAAGATGTACACCGGAAGACAGAACAGCGCTGTCAAGCCAAACAATACCAAATACGACCTCTGAATACCTAGATTGCTGTACATGGGCTTGGTGTAAAGCGCACATAAACCCGCGAGCAAATCTCTCATGAAGCCGTTGCCACCAGTCGCAGACGCGCTATGTGGTCCGTAGGCGGCGACCATGTAATCGATGGACGCGTAGTAGATGGCGAAGTTCGAAACTCCAATGAGGAGGGTGGCCATTATGACGCCGAACCAGTGGAGTGGCGGCCCTGTTGCGACGAATGCGCAGATCAGCAGCCCAGCAGGGAGGAGGGTGACGAGCCATAGGAGTGGCTTAAGACGTGCCTCAGGTGCAAGCTGTTCACCCCGGCTACGTCGAGCATTGTGACGTGCGATGATCGGGAAAAAGGTGAAGTAGCCGATGATGTATGACACTGCTAATGCGACGAGAGCAAGCGAGATCTGCGTAGGCGTGAAAGACCATTGTTGGAAGACGTAGCCGAAGCTCTCGAAGAAAGAGAAGATGAGCGCGTCGGCGAGACCGCTCAGCAGCGACAGGAAAAGGACGATGGGCTCAGTCAGGAGCAACTGATATGGTCGAAACATCGTGGTGGCAACTTCCTTGTAGTGCAGCCTGTCCCTCCATTTCTTGTCTTCGTTCGGTCCCCGGATGTTGACATTACCGCTCTTTCGTTCCTTCTTCGCGGCGTTGTCGAGCATGATGGGAGCCAGAGTCTCTTTGGCGATGGCCCCATGAAGTAACTGGGTCGTTACTCCAAGGATGAGCTGGATGTAGAAGTTCCAACGCCAACCCAGGAACTGCTCGAGCGGGCCTCCGATAATGCCTCCAATGACTGCTCCGAGACAAGAGAAGAGCGAACACCACAAGACGGCATATTGTTGCTCATCTTTGTGATACATGTCACCGACCATGCCCATGGTGACCGATCCACCAGCCGAAGACAAGCCGCCCATGATCCTGCCACCGATGATTCCGGCAAAGCTGTTGGACGTGGCGCAAACCAGGACCGAGATGTTCGTCAGCCCAAGAGAGGCTTGCATGACGGGCCAGCGTCCAAATTCCTCGGAGAACGGCGCCCAGAATTCGCAGCCGAACGCATATGCGACGAGGAAGGCAGTCATCCCCAACCGGGCGTTTGTGATGCCGAAGTAGTCGTTCAGCAGAGGCACGGCGTTGGAGTATACCGAGGCGTTGAGATTCATACTGATCTGACAGAATGCGACCACGGTCAAAAGGCACCACTTTCGTTTTGTGGACCAAGCGTGCGCAGTGCGTTCGGGCGAGGTGTGTTCGTTGAGGATGATGGTGGGCGCGAGGCCGGGGGCCGAGGGTTGTGGCGCCAGTGTGGTTGAACTCTCCATACTGGTACGCGACTGCGCTGGGGAAGAGTTGGTGGAAGCCATGACAGAAGACATGAAGTTTTCTGTTGCTGTTATTTGTGTGTGGTGTATTGGATTGTATGATAGTAGTGTCTTGAGATAACTATCTTAAGAAGGATTGCATTGAACATGCGAGATTATATACTAAGAAAGTATGATATTTCACGATGGATGCTCAACTTTGGATCGTCGTGAGTAACGTCAAAGTACTATGTTTCTGTCATTTCGCGCATCGCAGCTCATCCTATGGGAGAGGGTACATACTAAGCGAAAAGTTAGAGACCGACCACATGCACACCACAACCATGGTACGTAAGTAAAGTCCAGTAAGTAGAGTAGAACCGGAATAACTCATGTGTTCATTCCACGGTACTGCTAAATTGTAAGTATTTGTTAGTAATGCACCATGGGTGGGCGTAGTGGGCGTGGACCCTGAACGTCACCTGACTTCGTCTTCCGGCAGGAGAGTAGTTGAGACATGGTTCCAAAGAAGAGTAGCGGGTTCGCTAAGTGTTGTGTTCAAGATCTTGAGTGACAATCTCTATGCTCAGCGAGCGTCTCTAGTACCAATGATCAGTGCCCAGTAGGTAGCACTTTGAGTTACAGCAGTCATGTACGCGAGAGGCCCGCTTCCCCACGAAGCAGTATCTCCGTAGATCCAAGACCATGGCCTTTGTCGTCCTTCGGCGCAACCCATACAAGGAAAGAGATGAACGAGTTTGCAGCCTACATTAAGATGAAAATATGCAAAGTAGATGATCTAACGTCAACGTAGGCTCTAGGGTGTTCAGAAAAATTCCTGAGCGGGGTGGGCGCATGATATGATGTTGCGTGGCAACGACACAATGATCGGAGATCATGAATACGTTGCTGGATTGATGAACTGCTCATAGAAATGTCATAAAGTATTCTTTATAACGCGTGGTAATGACGGTAAGATTATGGTTGTGTTTAGCAAGGTTAATTCGAGGCCTTTTGAGTACCTGCCGCCAAGAATACTAGACGTGCGGAAGTCCGTCGAACGTACACAGTACTTAATCATATGTATGGTTTCGGTAATGACATATGATCTTGTTAAGTGTGAGGCGAACTCAAACTCAAAGTGTTAGCGCGTCAGCGCGTCATTTCGCCAATACCACATACTAACGGCAGGGGGGTCGGGTTCGCGGGTAGGTACATCACGATATGTAGCGACCCAGTCCAGAACTGTGTTTACACGTGAAGTAATTGGGCCTCGAGGTCGTACAATGCTCAATCTCTCGACCGCATCCTTGTACCTGATCACGTTCGCAGAAACCAGACGGAGATCCCGCCCTCCTCGGTCGGATGCTGCATCGATATTCAAGTAACCGTAATTACGCGCCCGGCATGCTACTGGAGGTTGCAGTCTTCGTTATCGAAACCACACATTCTTCCGTGGTGATGCGACATGCCGATGGCCGGAAGGCATCGACACCCTGCCGCCACGGTACAGCCACAGTGGGCATTTTGTCCTCCCGCACGCTTCCCCGCACTAGGTGGATATGGTCGATCAGTAATGCGTGTATCTTGGCTTGAAGGTTTCCGCGGCTCGTTGCATAGTCGACAGGTGCGGAGGTACATCCTCAAGCGGACGGCGTGCCCGATGGACAGCTTGTGACAGCTACGTTGAAGCATCCGCGACAGGAACATAGGTGGCCTTCTAGAAGTTTGACATGAAACCTCTGAGACTGACAGAAGTGTTGAGCATGACTGGACGTAGCGCGATGTTTTCGAAGCCGCGAAGGATAAAAGAACGCATGAACGTCAGACTTTCTGCCGGTCAATGGGAAGACGTGCGAAAGCACAATGAAACGGGAGTGCTGCATGGATATTCCTGTATACATGGAATCGAGCTGCGTCAATATTCCAGGTGCTATAGCTGCAGAATTCGGCGCGTGCGGTGCTGCAACACAGCCTGCGAACGGTAGAGCACCGCACTGTACCTGCAGCCGCGGCATGCGGTCATGGCCGCCAAGACGAAGCGTTCGAAATTGGAGTTACAACGGAAAGAAGCGGCGTGATGGTTTCTTTAAGCGTGTGTAGCGATGGAAACGCTTGCAAGCACGAAAACGTTGAAGTTGGTGTGATGGTAGGAGCGAATCCTGGGGTACCTGGGAAATTGCTGGAGTGCCGAAACCTCCGATGTCTGATCTCGGCATGCGACGATCCAGCCCAGCACGAACCAGAACACGATCTACCCCAACTTCGACACTCTTGTCTCACCGGGTTTCCTACCGTTCACACATCAGTGGACTGCATGCTGACCGGCATGTTTGGAGGCGGACGTCAAATTGCTATCCGCGGTCGCAGCCCGACAAGGTAGCAGCCTGTACCCCCCGTGGTAGTCGTCGTGACACATTTCTCCGTCATGGCGTTCACGCGTTCTGCTGCAGTCCTGCAGAAGATGCGATCCCTTCCCGTTACACTAAGAACAGTGACTAGCCTGGTGGCTCAGTATCATCCAACCCTGCGATACACCTCTCATCGAGCAATCCCTTGCCGCTCAGGCCTCCCCGAGCCGCAGCTAACCTCGCCCTGTTGTATCTTTTACCAGACCCGACCCATGTGCAGGGCAGTTCTAATACCTCTTACGTCTTCCCGCTCTCCCTAGCAGTTGTGTGCCGCCCTGTTCGCCGATGGACATTTGGCATAACCTGTCCCGCCCCCTCGGTATCAGCATCCTTCAATCCTTCCGCTACACGGTCCCACTTTCGTTCTGTTAAGTAAGAGGAGGAGCCTGACTCTCAAATCCTCATACTTCACTGTCAATCGAAACTATCACTCCCGCTTGGTCCCCACACAGCATGATCACCATGCCGCCTCTGTTGCGCCCACGAGAGCTCGATGGCACAACAAGGGCCAATCTCGACCGTCTTGGTGTCGCTTACATTGTTGTCGCCGTATTGTACACGCTGATACTGAGTGTCGAGCTTTTCTTCCTCCATCGACGTAGGGAGGCTTTTTGTTTGCAGATACGGAATATCAAGATCGTTTTTGCAGCGGTGCTTATGCTGCACATCTATCTCATCCTTGTCCTACTCGTCTACCCGTGGAACGGTCTCTTCCCATGCTCAGCCGAGTTTTGGATCATGTCAGTATTTCTTCCATCTGGCATGGCATTTTTCCAAGGTAAGTTTGAGGTTCGACGCAAGGTCCGATGCATACTAAGTCCTCACAGCATGCAATGCCAAGGTGCTCACGGCCTACGAGAGCCAGCGCCGTATGACACGCAACTTTCTGGAGGGTGCGCGCAAGAAGCGGATGTCGTATACCCCACTCGGCCTTCTTGAAGCGTGGCGCGATCTCGATGCGGCGAAGAAAGTATACTTTGGTACTTTGGTCGGACTAGTCCTTTCGGTATGTTATGCTGTAGTGCGTCCATGTGTATACCACTGACCGCAGCAGTTCCTGCCCGCTATTATGCTGTTCTTCGGCTCTCGCCGCTTTCACGACGCGTACGGTTTCTTCGGAGTTCCTACTAATTACATTGAATGCCGAAGAGGAGGCGAATGGTATGTTATCATGACGCACTTGCACGAGTCTTGCACTGATCGTGAATCAGGATTCCGTCGATCTTTGTGCAGCTATTCTGGACAATGATGGTTGGTCCGTGGATACTATGGAAGATCCGCAACATCAAGGACGTTCACTCGTGGGCCTGGCAAACGAGACTTGCCATCATTGCTGGGTATGTTTGGTCGCATCGAATCCATTCCATCCTGCTTACATTGCTTTCAGTCTTCCAGGAACGCCACTTTGGATCGCCTTCACGTACTCAAAGATGCACCAGATCCAGCAAATCAACAAGGTCTTTGCACCAGCCGGGTGGTAAGTGAAGTTGCCTTTCCTGACCCGTTCCCAGCTGACCCCCCGATGTAGGTTTATACCATCACTAGTCGTTTGCCAACAGGTTCTCATCATCATACCACTGCGAGACGCACTGAGGGCCCAACCGAACAGACGATCATCAATCTCCGACACCGATTCGCTCACCTCCAACCACTCGCAATTATCCGGGAAATCGACTACCATGATCTACACCAAGGAGATCAAAGCCAAATCGTCGATGCAGTCATTGGAGTTCACCATTGAGCAGAATATCGAGCCCCTCATCGCCTGGGCTGCTGCGCGCGAGTTCACAGCCGAGAACTGCATCTTCCTCCGTGAAGTGCGCAACTTCAGGAAGAAGTGGGGCAGCCTCAAGGTCGTTACCACCGCTCAACGGCGACAGATGTTCAACGAGGCGTCTCTGCTTTTCTACACGCTTATTAACCCCTTCACCGCCGAGGCACCGATCAACATCGAATACAAGATCTTCAAGACTCTACAAAACATGTTCGCGGAAGTCGAGTTCGACCCGTATATGCCGCGTGCCCAGACACCAGAGGAAGCTAAGTCACCCGTCGCCAGAGACAATGTCGTATGCCCATGGGAGGACACCTTAAGCCGGCCAGCGAGTATCGACTCCAACATCACATCGTCCTCAACATCGAGCACCAGGTCAATAGTCCCGAGCGAGTTCACAGAGGAAGTCTTTGATCCCGCCTTTGAGAGCATCAAATACCTCGTCTTCACCAACACCTGGCCGCGCTACGTGGAGCTCGCAGGCAAGCTTCCATCGGCATGATTCAATGCATGCAAATTATCGAGACCTGACAGTATCACTGTCTGGCAGAGCCACACATCTCATTTCTTTAACACGTTTGTCGATATAAAAAGGGTACACAGTCCTTATACACTACCACGCAAAGCGTGGCTGCGGTAATCTCAGTCTTTACCATAATCATTCTCAGGATAAGAATGTTGTTATATAGTTTCCTTGGTTCGCTTCTCGATAGAAATACCCTCAATGACATGGCGCATCTTCTTCTTACCTTTGATCTTGACTACGTCACATCTTTCCACGTGTGCGACTTCACGGTGTTCACTCACACCGACACAAACATGCTGTAGCCTGAACCACAGGCGCCTAAAACGCCTGACGATCTAGACAGCCGTGGATCGTGAGGCTTGTTTGCCGCTCCACCCCTTCCATTCATGCGATGAGCAGCATACGCTGACATTCCGGAACGACAACGATCCTGCTACCTGACACATTGCACGTTAGGCCGCGTTTGACAGGTCCCCTTCCGGTCGGCTCCTAGCCCTACACGCCAGTTTCGACGTTGTTTTGACAGCTGGGCGGGGCGACCCAGCCAACAACGGAAGTCCGCCAACTGTAGATCGTAGATCGCTTGCACACGACTCGACAACCTCACGATGCTGATCGTCATCTCATCTCACAACGTCAGCGGACTCGCCGACACAGCCAAAGACATCGCTGTCATCCCTCCGACTTCACCGAAAGTCCCATGCCCCGCGGGGCAAATAACTGCCGCACGCGACCGTTCCTGCCTTCGCTAACGCAACTCTGCGACCTACGCCGCAGGCCCCCAATATACGGCACAGCACCTGGGCACCACGCCACCAACAGCGCCTTTCCCTCTCCCTTCCGTTCATCCCTCTCCTGAGCATAAAGACGGCTCGCGCGTGCTAGGACTCGGCATCTGAGATTATGCATGGGGCGCGTGCGTTGTTCGGATGGCGAGAGATACCGGCGCTGTGGTTTCGCGTCTTGGGGCGTTGGATGTCGCAGGTTGTGGGTTTGAGAAGGGCCCGGGGACCGAGGACCGGGATGGTGGGCTGTGGGAGCTGGAAGAGGGAGGATAGAGGGTAGGCTAGTGACTGGAGACGAGTATAGGCTGTTGTGGTTGTGATAGTTGTGTGAGTTGGTGAGTGGTTTCGCGTGCTGTTTGTGGGAGCTGCCCGGGCGGTGCCAGCTTCAGCGTGGTTGCAAGCACGTTGAAGCTACGCGCGCTATTGACATCGGAGAAGCAGCTGCAACGGGCCTCTCAATGTCCGCTGCAGAATCCTGCGCACGCGTTGCCCATGTGGTAGTTCTGATGCGGCGTGGTTAGCAGGAGGTGCGATGCCCATTCAACGACTCGGTATACACGCTAGCATGACTCATGGCTGCTTTTGACTGTGCGGTGCCTCAGTCTCCAACTCCATTGCCACCTGGGCAGTCACATTCCCCTCATCGTCATCACCAGCCGTTGACATGATCAGAACTTTATACGTTGTATTGCGAATTCAGTCATGTACATTGGAGTATTTGCGAGACCTCACCTGCTCACTGCGGGACCGAACCTATGTACACAATATGTCTCTTGATGAGCTTCCCTCTCCCATACGCCTTCTCCACGCCGTCTTGCTTTACAATTCGATCATCTAACGCTTCTACTTCCCTCGTCTATCTCACATGATAACGCAACCACCGCTGTTCTTCCTCCTCTCTTTCCCCCGCGACCTCTGAGTAGGCGCCCTAGTCATCGGACGCGGGTACGTTGGTTGAGCCTCCGCGGTGGCCCCATTGCGGTTATCTTGAACTGGGCGTTGGCTGGGCTGGCTGGGCTGACTGGGCTGGCTGGGTGCCGGTGATACTTTCAAGGAATCTTTTGGGGGTGAACGAAATACGCCGCATTGCCAGCAACATCCATGCTTGCAGTTGCTGCACTTCGTCACACGTGTGTGGTCTTGTTCAGAGGCACCGTCGCCGGCGTTCGGGGTGCCGCAGGTGCAGCAGTACCAGCCCATCGCGGGATTGAGGTTGGTTCTGAATATGTGGGTGATATAAGCTGGAGTCTGCTATGCAGGCCAGGGACACGCAGAACGCCGCTGTCTTAGTGGGTAGTCAGTAGATGAGTTAGTTCGGTGAGTTGGCGCATAAGACTGTACAGAAAGAGGAAGTAGCACAACGAGGATGAGGGGTTTATGCGAGCGGAAGCATCGCGCGCATTCACATTGCGGATTACAAGGTCGCGTGGCTTCTAGCTCTTGATGCTACTGCTATTGTCCTATAGGCGCCATGTGCATCCATTGCAGATATGGCTGTCGCGTATATTTGACAGTCACTGAAGGTATGCTCACGATACAGATATCGGATTCGCAATCCCATCGACAGTATCATTGATGTCTGCAGCTCTTCCAGTCCAGCACTCTTCCGGTACATCATGAATCACTTGTTTTTCGGCGACTTCGCCATCTACACTCCTGCTTCCACCCATTTCCTCAACCATTGCTCACAATATGACGCATTTCACTCGTCTCTTTCTCCTATCCCACCCCGCCGTTCTTTCTTCTCTTTCCACTTCCGTAGTTCTCTTCTTCCTTCGCAAAGCTTCCTCAGCGTCCCATATTCCAGCCGATTTGGCAGCTTGCTGCGCGGCAATTCTTGCGACTGGACCGGCAAACCCCGCATTTGACGACGAAAACGTGGGACTAGGAAGTTCGGGTATCGCATTGTGGTCGTAAAGTCTGTTCTTCAGACATTCGTTGCAGTCGGCTAGTTTGTGTCTGCAGACCGTGCAGCTGGACTCCTTGTGAACGTCGTTGTGGATGCGCTGCTTGCATTCCTGTCCACAACATACCCAGTCTATACGAAGTGCTTTGGGGTCTTGCTGTCGTCCTCGGTTTTGGGATGCATTTGATGGGAGATAGTCTTGCAGTTTTTGACGCGGTATCCCCGACATACTGGGTGCAAAGATTGATGTGATTAACGGGTATGTATAAATATCTGGGCAGGAAGCGCGAGCGAAGGTGGTGAAGAGGCAAGATCATGGTAGGCGTGTGTCTACCGAACATACTACTGGTACACAGTCACAGCGCGTAGACTCGGAAACGCCACTTCGATACGAATATGTCCTATTAGTCAAGCGCACTGTGCACGCAGGCGTTCTGGCGAAAGGCAGTCATAAACCACTCATATGAGCTTCAGTCATCCCGCTGACACACTTCAACGAGAACAGAGTTGTATAATGAAGATTGTTGGTATAATGTTTCGCACTGCGGCCTGCCGCTACCAATTCTATTCCAACAACTGTATTGTGTGGCGCGTGAGTTTGTCCATGTCAACCCCATAATTCCTACCAACTCCCACAACACCAGTTCACGCATGCTCTAAATACCCCGGATATCCAAAATACCTCGCTCCACATTCTTGCCCTCGTAGCTAGGGGACTTCTCCTTCTCTGCTTCATCGAGCGTCTGGAGATAGGCAGTTCTTTTGGGGCCCTTCCCGAAGAATTTACCCCAGCCACTGCGGGTCGTAGGACCAGAAGAGGGGCCTGTTGTTGCGGGAACATTGTGGCGAGCGGACTCGATATGAGTGAGATTTCTCGAGTTGGTGGCGTACGAAGAAGTAGTGACAGGTCTGTGGGGGATCGCAGTACCTGTACGGGTAATGTTCTGATGGGAGAAAGTCGAAACGGGGGCGGTGGAGGTGTTCGAGGTAACCCTTCCAGGGTGCATATATTGCAGCATTTCACGTTTGTTCCTTGCTGAGAGATCCCTGAAAATTCTTGTGCATCTTCCCCCATCGCCAACACACTTGCGAGTATCTTCCGGCCAGACACTACAACCTTCCATTCCGTTCCTCTTGCGGCATAAGTCACACCTCCACATCGCTGTCCTCTCCTTGGTTTTTAGCATGACGACGCTAGACGCGGCTGGCCGAGAATGGAGTATTAAAGGTGAGGTGTTGCGTTATTCGGGAACGGACAGTAGCGAGTAATATCGATCCAAGTACCGAGAGTGGGCGACGATGATGTAGGTCGCTAGTACAAAGCTTGATATATTATGAGGTGTTGTGGAAGTGTATGGGTGTCGGAGTACCGCCATATATAGTTTCATCGTCGCGCTGTGTTCTCATACTGTTGCTTGAATGACACTGCGTCATGAAGAGTCAAGCATCAAGTATGTCTACGGTGACTAAAGTCGGGATGTGACTAAAACACGGTCGTGGAAGTGCAGAAGTAGTCGGCAAGCTTGGAATATCTTGGAGCGAATGCCGCATGTCAAGGTTGAGTACATGATCTTCTATAGCCGCTGTGAAGACGCTCGCAGATTTGGGTGTTCGTGCATCATTGTGGCGATGTCGTGGAGATCACATTCGCCCTTTCGATATTTACATGCACATGTCGCCGCCATAGACTTATCCTCAAATCATGCAATGAGCCTCTTTCGCTTGCCATCTCTTTCCTCTGGACGTTCCACCCCGACCGGTCGAGACCTACCTCTTACTGTAACCACTCCACATCAACGCCTGAATGGATCATTCGCACTCCGGTAAGTGTTCAATACGGGAGCTATCACACTTGGCAAGCAGCGCCTCGTAGGGTTTCCAGTGAAGATCGACTGTTTTGGTATTGTCGTTGATGGAGGTTCCTGCGTTCTGCCGCGATCGAGGTATGAAATGGTAGAAGTTCCTGAAAACTAATAACCCGATCCGGCCGCTGCCCTGGAAGTCAGGGATGCGAGTGAACTCTGTATCTTCTTCCTCTGTCGATACGATGTGTTCGAGCGAGACTAACGGCAGTCTCCAGTCGCGCTCGAAGATTGGCGCAATGAATTGTAATAGAAGTCGAGTCGGGACCTGGCGCACCAGCTTGGCAAATTCTTGATCATCTCGGACCTCATCTCCACGAATGGTATAGCTGCGCAGGGTAGGGCATAGTTCGGGAAAGCAGACTCCTTGAGTAAATAATGTAGTCAGATCCTCGTCGCAAATTCTGTCGAGCACAATGCACAGGCTCGTCAAATGCGATGCCCGAATGCGGAAGTCGGAAACTTTTCGGGTCCTCAGTGCAAGTGTTAGATGACGAAGGTTGTCGTAGCTCAAAGGAATGAGGCTTTCAGGGATGTCGCCAGTGTGTTTGAAATTGTGTTGGTGTTCACTGGACAGGAGGTACATAGATTCGAGTCTTTCTGCCAAGTGTGTATCTCTGAGGACGGTTTGAATGATCTGTATAGCTCATCAACACATGTAAAGGACCCCCAAGCAGATGATGGAGGTAAAATGCAGGCAAGTATTCAAAAATGACCATTGGACGGTTGAGGAGTCGGACTTACGTGCATAGGGTCAACAGCCTCGCTGTAAAACGTGCCGACCCACGCCTTTTCACCTGCATCATTAAATGTAAGGCTGAGGCTTGCGATGACACAAACCAGATGGCGGATCTTGGGGGCCAGGCGAATGATTGCGACCAGTGTTTCCGAGCGGGTATCTCGAAGCCATGCGCAATGCGCATGAAATTCGTCTCTTCGAGAATCGGCGATGACACTCAAGTGATGCGTGTAGCCTTCTTCCGTGAAGAGATGGTAAGGTGAAAGAGTTAGATATGTGAGCCTAGTCGAGATTTCAGGTAACTCGAGAAGGGCAGCTAGGTTCCGCAGTGTCCCTTCTTGGCACTTTGTTGGGAGATCTTCCAGGATCCAAACGAAGGTCTGCCATGCCGCCGTACGTAGACGTCGACAGGTCAACCGAATGTTGTAGATGTCGGGCCTCTCTTGTTCGCTCCAGTAGTCAGGGTCGAGACAAGCGAGGTTTTTATGACGCTGGCGAGGTATGAGGTATGCGAAGATGTGCTCATGGAGTTCCAATGGCAGGGTTTCGAGGCTCGTCATGACGAGGGAGGGCTACTTCGGTGTTGGCTGCCGGGTTGAGCCGTGTAGACTACACAGAACTTTGTGAGTGACAAGCAAGATGGTGGCTCGATGTGAGGGGAGTGTCAGGATCAGCTCCAAGCTGTGGATGTTGTAGTGCCCTAGGTATGGCGTGCAGATGCAATGCCGGTGTGCGGCACAGCCCTGCTGGCAGAGTCATCATGCCAAGAGGTGGCATGTAGCTTCGCGACTGAACTCGATCGGATCTCGCAAGAAGCGCTTTCTCGGATGCTCTAGCATTGACGCGAGCTCTAGGTGGACAACGTCGAGTGGAAGCGCTGGAGGTCATGGTGAGGTGGTGGTCACGTGGCGGATGATGAAACAGGGTTAGACATACGGGGAGGCAGCTGCGCATCAGCTCGGATCAGCAAACATCACGTCGGCCATCCTCACGCGTCGAGACATCGCCAATAGGACGCCCAGCCTCGCTCGAGTCGCCCCTTCCTCGCGCCCCCTCGCACTCCCTCGCGCACTGCCAGAAGCACCTCGGGCATCGCGCGCATCTTTGCGCCTGCCCTCTCTCCGCCGTCTGCACGCCGCGCCGCTGCCGGTCGTGGTTCCCCAGGCCGAAAGCCCGTCCCACCGCCGCCCCACCGCGAGTCGACGAACTGCAGCGCCGTCACCACCATCATGTCCGGCCCAGTCGCAGTTGCCCGCCCAGCGCAACCTCCTCGCCTGCGTCGCGAGTCTCAGCGCCCGGGAGTTGCGCGCACTACCACGCGCCAGTCCAACATGGAGGACGAGAGCGCGAAGCACGACGAGGCCAGGAAATATGGTATATTCACACTTCGCTACCGTTTTCGGCACACGCGCTAATATGCTTCGCAGTCTACACGCAGCAAGATATCCTGGCCAGGCACAAGGGCAAGCCGCCGTCGCTCCGTGTATACCTGCACCCCAAGCACTTCCGCCTGAATGACTCCCAGGAGACGTTGTCCTACCAGTCGCCTATGCGCGAGCTGCTGCAGGCCATCCGCAACAAGGAGGTGCCGCACAACATGGTCGAGGAGCTCTACGAGTTCAACACGCCTTGGTACGACGACTGCCTCATCGTTGAGCTTCACGACTACCGCTCGGCCGGCGTCAAGCCCAAGGATGACACCAACAGCACTGGCGAGGCCGGCACGAGCGCCTTCTCTATTCATAATTACAACAACTTTATCACACCCTCTCCATTCGCACCCTTTCCAGCCAAACAGGCCGATGCGAAGGCCGCCCAGGCCAACGCGCAGAGCAAAGACGGAGAAACCAAAGAAGACAAGGAGAACATGCCTGCTCCTGGTCAGAACGGGGCTCTGACCAAGCAGCCAGGCATCGCTAAAGTCGGCACAGTGGTACTGTTTCCAACGCAGCAGTCGCGATTGGCCGACATGCAGCTACTGGCCACCACGCCGGTACCAGACATGGCTACCCTCAAAAGAATGCAAGCCCAGGGCAGAGCTGGAGGCATGCCGCCGACTCCCATGACGGCAGTACCCTCCACGCCCACCTTTGCAAACGGCCCAAGCCCGAAACGCCAAAAAATGGTCCTCGACGATAGCAACGTACACGAGTTCGAGGCCGAGTTACTGAGGGCCACCTGCCCACCCCTCTATTTGGAGCCCACCAAGAGCTTCGGTGAATCGCTCGCACTTATGGATGCCATCACACATCCGAACAACAAGAACCCCGCCCCTCCACGCAAGACTCGCAAGAGGACCACCGCCGAGCTGGCTGCAGACGAGGCAGAGGCTCAGGCTCTACAGCGCTATATGTTGGCGGGCGACGAGTACCAGAGCAATATGACGGCCACAGCCGCCGGCAACGACGACAACGCTGTGCGCGCCGCTGCCAACTCCCAGACATTTGCCCGCTTCAAGACCATTGCTAACATCCGTGCAAACCATGAGGAAGCCGACCGGAGGAAGAAAGAGGAAGACGCTCGAATCGCTCAAGCTAAACGCCAAGCGCAGATGGAGGCTGAGATCCAGCGGAAGAGAGAGATCGAGAGCAGACAGCAGGCCGAACTCGCGGAGCGTCAACAGCAACAGGCTCTTCGCCAGCAAGCACATCAAGCACAACTGCAGCAGAACCAGCAGCAGAGTGAAGCCTTGCGAGCCGCAGCCGCAGCACAGCACCAGATGTCGAACGCGGCAGCCATACAGGCTACTCAGACACCTCAGTCGGCTACACAATCTCAGTTTTCGCCTACCATACGCCAGCAAACACCGATGGCCGCCGCTGCAGCCTCGCCATCACTTGGTGGGCAGGCTGCGCATCAACTTGGTGGCACCCCGATGGTACCTACCGCTTCGAACCAGGCCATCAACAGTCCTGCTCGCCCACCATCTGCCGTCTCTAATCACCAGAACATGATGCGCTCCGTCAGTCAGCAGCAGAACTTGAGTCGCACAGGCACACCGCACATCGTACAAGGAACGCCTGTAATGAATGCCTCCATGCCGAATCGCAACATGACGCCGACCCCGAGTCGCATGGGCCAGGGCAGCCCATCTATGGCCATGCAAGGGCAAACGCCAATGATGATGCAGACACCTCAGCCAGGTCACAACATGACGCCTGAACAGGCTCAGCAGATGCAACAACAGCGTCTGCAGCAGCAACTTCGCATGCAGCAAATGCAGCAAACAGGATCGCCAGGTAACCAGCAGCAACAATTCCAACAGCTGGCATTCCAAAAGGCTACGCAGCAAATCCAGACTCAGGGAGTTCCGCAAGGCCAGAATCCGCAGGCATACCGCAACCAGCTCGCGCAGCACTATTTCCGCCAATTGACCCAAAATCAGCAGCAAAGTCAACAGCAAATGGCTATGCAGAATATGTCACCTGGAGCAGGCATGCAGCAGAATGGCATGCCCAATAATCAAGGGACCATGACTTTTGCTAACCTGAATCTCCAGCAGATGCGCGCGCGCTATCAGCAGCACAAGCAAACGGTCATGCAGAACTACGGCCAGAATATTCCTCCCCAGGTCATGCAACAAATCCACCAGATGGAAATGCAAATCAAGCAGCGAGAGCAGCGTGAACAACAGATGCAGATGGCACATATGCAGAACAACATGGGCGGCCAGATGAACGGCGGCCAAATGAACGGCATGCAGAACGGCAACACCCCCAACCCCATGCAAATGCAACAGTACCAGCAGATGCTCCAACAACAACGCGCAAACGCCGCAAACAATTCTCGACTCCTACAAATGCGACAACAAGCCATGGCGAGCGGTGGCCAGCTGCCTCAGGGCATGATGGGCAACATGAATACCATGAACAGCATGCAAGGTGGCGGCATGCAGGGCATGAACATGGGTAACATGGGCAACATGGGTCAGGGTATGAACATGGCGCAAATGAACCAGATGAATGGAGGCATGGGCGGCATGCAGGGCGGACAGATGAACGGCGGTATGCAGGGTATGCAAGGAATGCAGCCCATGAACCAACAGCAGATGACCCAGATGATGATGATGCGTCAAGCCCAGCAACAAGCCCAACAGTTGGGACGGCAGGGTGGACAGCAAGGTGGGGATATGGGATGGACCGGGTAGTCTCCTTACCCATCTCCTCCCTCTTCTTTTTGAGCTTGTCATTATTATTCTGTCTCCATTCCGTCTTCGGCTGCATGCATCATCACGGACATTTGGGTCGACAAGCTATGGGACAAAAAGGTGTTTTGGGCGCGGGAAAAGTGTTGGTGTTTATTCTTCAAAAGATACCCCCGGTGTTGGGATGGTTACTCATACTGTTACTTTACGATAATCACGGAAACGGCATGTTTGGGGTGCATTCGGGACAACGGATTGGCATAATTGGCTGGGTCTTTGGACTTGTCGTTATTATTCATCTGTAAGACTTGTATCAGACATTCCATATATTATTATGACCTTGGTGGCCTGTGTCTGACGTGCTTTCACAGACAATCTTGGTACGCGTATGCTGTACACTCTCTGTCGTATCTTGCATCTTACATCCGTACTTCTCACTGACAACTTTAGAATACTCATACTGTACATCCACGGTTATCACCTGCGTCTTACGTCCATTCAGTTCTTCCCCTTGCCTTTGCCCTTTGCCTTCCCCTTCTTCCCACCAACCTTGGCGGCTTTCTTCTCCTCCACCTTGCGCTTTCCAATAACCTCCCCGTTCGCCGTCTCATACCCGTGTGCAAACTTGTATACACAATCACCGCACGCTGCCGCGCCTCCCAAGGGACACGCAAAGAAGTACAAGCGTACGTCCTTGACGCAAAAGTCGCAGGTGGCAGTGCCATCGATCCGGTGCCAGCCTAAATCCACCAACTCGAATTTGGCATCAGGCGCTGCATCATTAGCTGCCTTCGCGTCTACATGAAGCTTTCGCGCCCACATGTGCGCCAGGCGGACGCGGCGTTGGATACGCTGAGCTTCCGCGTCGGCCGTATTGGCGAAGTGAGGCTCCATGTATGTTCGAACCATCAGCTCTTCGGCCTGGCGTACCTTCTGCTCTGCGAGCTTTTGTTGTGCCTCCAGTGCAGCGAGATACTCTTGTGCCTTCCGCTCTTGCTCCAGACGATGCTGCTCTCTGACTATCGCTTCCCGTGCTTCTGCTTCCTTTTGGCGCTGTTCGCGGCGCTGCTTTTGCCTAGCCTCCTCCTCTTCTTCCCATTTCCGCAACCACTCTTCAGCTGCCTTAGCTCGCTCCTTCTCCGCACGCTCTGCTGCTTGTCGCGAACGCTCTTCCGCGAGCCTCACCTTCCTTTCTCTTGCGATTCGCTCAGCTTCAGCCCGAGCCTCTTCCTCTGCTTTGCGTCATTTCTCGTCTTCCTGGCGCCTTTGCTCCCTTTGTACACGTGCTTCTTCTTTCTCAGCGTCAATGCGGTCTATCTCTTCCTGCAGCTTGTGCTTCGCATAGGCGCAACGGTACTCTGCCCATTCCTCCTGTATGCCTTCGTATAGCGCATCGTATTCGTCTCGTGAACTAGGGTATCTGAGTATCTCAAACGCTTCGTTCACCTATTGCTCATTAGTCTCGTTATCGCTGGGCTTCTCGGGTGAATGATCTTACGCGTCTGAACTCGACAGCATCTACAGTCTGACCTGGTGCTTTCTTGTCGGGATGATGCTGCAGCGCTAATCTGTAGTATGCTGCCTTGACGTCTGTTGCTGGGGCGTATGGATCCACACCTAAGTCGAAGTAACAGTCCGCCGTCTCGGGCTCTACAGGCTTGTAGTTGGGCATTTTTGTAGATTTGGCTCTCACTTCTCGTAATGCTCTTTAGCGCGTCGGGCGTCGGTTTTGTGCGCGTTGTCGGGTAGTTACAATTGCTGTACACTGAATGCGACGCGATAGAATGAGGAAGAAACGATACAGTTAATAGCGCTTGCGAAAGCTTCGCAATCGCGTCGTGAGTGGTGAAGAATTGAACGGGGTGAAGACGGTTAGGGAAGGAAGGAGCGACGAAGCAGGAGCGACAGGGTGTACCGCGCACCGAAGTGAGAGAAAGAGGTGAGAGAGCAAATTCTCATATGAGCCTCTCTGTATTCGATTAACGAACACTCAACTATTTCCGATACCACATCCTCGTCGTCTTCGTATGTCTAATCTTTTTCTGCAACTGAAAGACGCCATACAACAATGCCTCAGCCGTCGGAGGACACCCCGGCACATAAATATCCACAGGAATAATCCTATCAACGCCCCTCACCACACTATAACTATAATGATAGTACCCGCCACCATTCGCGCAACTCCCCATGCTAATCACCCACCTCGGCTCTGGCATCTGATCATAGCACTGCCGAACAGCAGGAGCCATTTTATTGGTGACTGTACCCGCAACGATCATCACATCCGCCTGGCGAGGGGACGCGCGAAAGATGATGCCGAGTCGGTCTTGGTCGTAGCGCGGCGTGGAGCAATGCATCATTTCGATGGCGCAGCAGGCGAGGCCGAAGGTCAGTGGGTGGATGGAGCTTTGTCGAACCCAGTTGAGTATTTGATCCGTGGTCGTTCTGGAGTCTGTCAGGAAGTGTTTGGATATTTCGGGGAGAGTGTGGCTTACAGGACGTGTTCGACGACGCCCCTGGGCTTGACGACGGCTGATGGGAGGAGTGTGTCGCTGCGCTTTTTATCTCGCCCTACGGTCTTATGATGGGAAGAGGTAGAAGAAATGCTGCGAAATACTGTAGGGCTAAGTCGAGGACTTCCAAGGTGAGGTCTTGATGTAAATGCTGGGCACTGTCAGTCTGGTTCATTCAAGATGGAAGGAGTGGCATGATACCGAATGCGTAGCAGCTTCTTTGACTCAAAAACTCTCGCAGCTTCGACATGATGACAGGCAGTACCTGATAGAAGTAAACTCATTCTTGCAACAGGAGTGTTGATACACGAAGGTATGGGGAGAGCATCGATGCTGCGTCACGTGGTCGGCCCTTTGCGGTAAGGTGGCCGCAGTTAAAGCCCACATGAGCGGAAAGCCCACATCGTGAAAACCCACATTCAACCCTGGAAAGCCCACATCATGGGCAGCCGCGTCAACAACGAAAAACCAGTCAATGCCAGATGCCATTGAAACAAACACGGGCAGCATATCGCATAAATGTAGCACCTGCAGCAGATCCTTCTCGAGCAACAGTCACTTGCGACGACACGAGTCGGCTCGTAAGTTGACCATACGACATGCCACTTAAAGCTTACTCAACACTCAAGATACACGCGATCGTCTAAACACATGCACCTTCTGCAACCGCACGTTCGTTCGCCAGTAGGTTTTCGCTAGTATCGGGTAAGCGCCTGAGACCACGACGTTGACATCGCTTAGCGACGTCCTCAGAAGACACTCAAAGTCATGCCCAAAACGAGGCGAGCACGATGAGATAGCCTCTGCCAAACCGGGACGACGAAGCCGGCTCAGAACGACCGAAAGCCATGCACAGCCGTTACACGAAGATACTCATGCAACCATTACCAGTCCTTTGAGCCGCGACACCACGGCTGGAGTGGAAAACGCCCAGAGTCTTCCTCCCTGCCCCATCACGTTCCTATATCAATACACAGACCCCCGCCGCGAGTCGATACTCAGTGCTTTCATTGGCGATCCATTGACTGTACGGTCGTCCAAAAGTCAAGAAAACCACGATGCAGACCATCAGCTTTTCGACAGGGATGTGGCACTCTTCGGCATCTTCTCAGACTTCTTCGTGTACAGCGATTTAGACATCAGTGCTTCAATACCACCGGCACCCGAAAGACCTCCAACGACCGCGCTTCTGCAACCTAGGATCGACGAGCTATGTTCTCAGCTCTTTATATATAGCCAAACATGTCGAACGGCTCACTTCAACCCCGAAGGCGCTTTCCCCGTGGTTGCCGCAAAAGCAGTCTTTACAGCAGAAAACTTCGAAGAGTGTATCTGGGCTTACTTCACCGTCTTCCACCCACAGCAGCCACTCATTCACTGGCCGACGTTCGATATGCACAAGGTCTCGCTACCCTTGCTACTTGCTGTCGCCTTTGGTGGGTCGGTACACTGCACACCCACGGATGGCGCTCTGTCATCTCGCTCCTTCTTCCATCTGGCCGAAGATTTCATCTTCGAGCATCTACGCGATGTAGTCGCAAAACCCAATTTCGGACACGACCCTCGCGCTCTGGAAGCAGTCCAAGCTGCATCACTCATAGTGGCTCTGCAGAGTACTTTCAACAACGAAGCCACACGCAGCCGAGTCGAAATATCTAGACATCCAGAAATTGTCGCTGCAATGAGATCGCTCAAGTTACTCGAACCAACAATCACAGTGAGGTCTCAAAACCAAGTACCGGAGTGGAATGCGTTTATAGCCGAAGAGTCTAGAGTGAGAGCTGTACACTTCATCTTTGCTATGGACTGCATGGCTACCTTCTTCTTCAACTCGGTTCCCAAGATTGCTATTGCGGAGGTCTCGCAGACGCTTCCGTGCAATGATGTACTTTATGATGCGGCTACGGCTGAAGATTATGCTCGTTTACGTACACAGTCGAAACGCTTAGCGAGACCGAAGCCCAGTATCAAGCAACTGGTTTCTGCGTTGATGAGCGAGGACTGGTCCGATGAGCAGAAGAGTCCGCTCATCGACGTCCTTGAACATCGGCTGCTCATGATTTGCATATTCGGTAGGTTTACCCATCTGCATCGTCAGCATTGGTGGTCTCAAGCTAAAGCATAATTGCAGCACTACATTCCATCGTATTCGTATCGCGAGCCACTCTTTTGGCTCCGATGGTACATTCTAATCTAACCCGTGCCACGAAACGCTGGAAAGAGCTGTGGGATGCTCTACACGCGAAACGTGAAGCTGAGGAACAAAGGCTACTAGGCTTTGTCAAGCATGGACTAGAGATATGGTGGGTGACATGTAAATATCTTGAACTGGCACATACCGGCGATGTGCAGAGTCGCTATATGGCGCTCGCTCCGACGGACTCGTTGGTCCATCTGCATGACTTCTTGAAGCGGTATGCGAATTGTGTGGAAAGGTAACACGGCTAGATCAAGACAAGACTATAACGAGAAACGCGCACTGCGTTATGATCACTTGCTAAGAAGATAGCAGCCATATATCCCCCACCCATCTACTTGAAGCAAGACATCAACGTGAAATTGATCATGTTGGAGATGTATCATAGGTTTATAGGTGAGAAGTACACTACAGCCCCTTTCCCAACAACCTTCATCCTCCTATCCAACTACTCAACTCTAAACAAACACCAGGCAACCATCCCGATTACTAATCCTCTCATCAAGATTAACCTCCCTCATCCTCCAATGCCCCTGATGTTCCAACTCCCCTTCCAACCTCTGCCCCCCATCCGCCAACCTCATCCCCCTCGCCGAACTCCCAAACCCACCACCCCCACGACTGCTATTTCCACCCGGGACCTTAAGATTCTGGCCAGGCCAGATCTGGTCTGGGTTGGTAATATTGTTGTGGCGAGCAAGATCCTCGTAGGAGCAGTGCGAGAAGCGAGACGCAATGGCGCGGAGCGTATCGCCTTGTTGGACAGTGTAAGTGTTTTCGCCGCCGCCGCCGCTGGAGTTGGAGCCCGACCAGCGGAAACTGCCGCCGTCGTTCTCGAGGATGCGGTTCAGGGATATGGAGGAGGATTGGTAGGAGCCGTCTGCGCGGCGGCATTGGGCGTGGAGGGTGTAGTCGCCATGAGCATCGAGACGAATGTCGCGCGAGCAGGCGCTGAAGTTGCCGCCGAAGTCGCCTTGGGAGCGCTGGTTGTTGGTGTCTTGGTGGTGTTGGATGGGAGGGGGGCCTTGGTGTTGTTGGCCGTACTTCTTGCGCTTTTCTTCCTCTTCTTCTTGCTTCTTCTTCTCTTTGCGCTCGTCCCACTTTTCTTCTACTGCGTCTTGGCCTTTGTGTCCCGCGAAGGCTCCTGCGAGGGCGCCGATTACCGTGCCGGCTACGCCGTGGCCGGCTTTGCCGCCGAGAGCGTGGCCGCCGTAGCCTCCGGCTGCTGCACCGGCGAGACCGCCCATGACACCGCGGTCACCTTCTGGGTCGCCCTCGCCGCCGTATTGGTTCTGATGGCCTTGGTTCATGGAGTTGCGACCCGAGTTGGATGAATGAGCTGCGGCGGAAGGGAGTTGTTGGTATTGAGGAGGTGCCGCGTCGTAACCTCCTTGTTGACCGTAGGCCTGAGGGCCTCCTTGACCACCGTAGTATGCGCTGGCAGCACCATGGGGCTGTTGTTGGTGGTGAGGAGGCTGCTGGTGTCCACCACCGCCATTGTAATTGTCTTGTCCATAACCACCCTGTTGTCCATATCCACCCTGTTGTTGGTGACCGCCTTGCTGTCCGTATCCGCCCTGGTTGTAGCCGGAGCCGTCGTATCCAGACATGGTGTTGTGTACGAAGGAATAAACTTAGATCTTGATAACTAGGTTATAATAGGTAAGGTTGAGTGTATCGCGATTTGACTTGAAGATCGAAATTCAGCGGGAGCGGGAGGGTTATTTAAAGTTGAAGGTAAGGTTCTCGACAACGTCACACTGTTTGGACAAGCACGATCCCCGCCGAAGTAGCACCTTCTTATTTATACACACCCATGACACAACACGATGCAAGTCGCGACTGCAGTGAATCAGCCACACTGTCGTCACCGCCACTTTTCGGCGCCAATGTGGGGATGCACTGTGTATTGAGTTGGCCGAGGGTCCACTTCACGTGGTGTCGGCCAATCATTGGCGTGCA